CCACGGTGAACTAAGGATCAGGATGATCCAGTTCTAGACACAGAGGCCTTTTTGTGGTCTAACACAAGATACCATCTTTCTTCACAAGCCTTGATTTCACTTAAAATATTCTCTTTTGAAAAAACAACTTTTAGTGATATAGTCACATGATTCGTTATATAGTCACATGATGATAGTTATCAAATAAAATTTTCCAAATTAAAATAGGAACTCAAAGAATGCCTCTGTAGAGTGCACTGAATTTTTGTTAGTGCTGATACGTACACTGAAACAGTTTGAGGAACTGTTCAAATGACTTTTCTTTACCAAAAGTCCTGCAAATATACTTTAGTTTTATAAATAGAAATACCATTCCTCTAAAATAGATTACATTATCTGAATCCACTTCTCCTTGGAAAACCAGTTTTTGCAACTTCAAGGTAGGGTATCTCAGGCATGGATGAAAATACTTGTGTGAGAAGTTTGATGTATATTAGTTTTTGGTGTGGTTTTTTTTTTTTTTTTAAAGAAATCTAATGCCTTGGTTTGTTTGCGTTTATTAGAGCAATAAAAGTCCTTTATCTTACAAGACCAATAAAAATTATGGGATACAGTAGACATCTTGGTTTTCTCTCAGTGTGTAAAAAGGAGATGATGAAGAGGTTTGTTGATGGCCTACAGTCTATTGTATCCTTTCTCATTACTATTAGCAGAGTTATCTCTGCTTCCAAATTTAGACATACTGTAGTGTCAGCACAGTGCGTTGGAGCATGCAGAATTAGAGGATAAAGAGACAGAGAGACTACGAGTGTCAAATGTGCAGTGAAGGCTTTCTATGGATCAGTCCTCCAGGTTTGCATGTGATCTTATGGAGTGTAAAATGTATTCTGTCCTTTTGTTGACAGCTGTGGAAGTCTGTCCTTAATTTACTAGCTTCCTGCAGCTATCACTCCACAGAATAAATAAATCAAGCTGTTGTATATGAGAACGCCCCTCACAACCATGCACGCACAAAACCCTCCCACAAATTATAAAACGTACCAGAAAAAAAAACCTCCTTTCTTCTTCTATAGAGAGCTTTCCACAGTCTCTTCGGGCAACTTGTTCCAGTGCTTAATTACCCTCACATTAAATATGTTTTCCTTATATCCAATTGGAACCTCCCCTGTTTCAACTTGGGACCAGCATCTCTCATTCTCCTGCCATGCCCCTCTGTTCTTCTCAGTACCCACCTCTTGTGTATTGGAAAGCTAATAGCAGTTAATGGCTATTCATTACCCTCTGAGCCTTCTTCACGCCGAAAAGCCCAGTTCCCTCAGCCTGTCCTCACACGGTATGTGCTTGAGCCCCTGACTATCTTGATGCCCCTGCGCTGGACTTGCTCAAGTTCTTACCCATCCAGTGCTCTACCCATCTAGACAACAATGTCCTAACTTGGGTACCAGAGTGCTGTGGGAGACTATGCTGAAAGCCTGTCGGGTTAGCAATCAGCCATTTCACTCTGAGACCCAATAGTTTCTTTTTGGCCTCCCTGTACATGCCCGTGGGCTGAGGAGAATGGCTCTGAATTTGTATGCGACAACAGAGGATATTGGTACTGGGCTGAGGTTTAGGGGTTTGGGTTTTTGGGGTTAGGTTGGGGGTTTTTTATGAAAACTTCTTAAGGATACAAAATTAATATTTACCACATTTTTAACAGAGATGTCGTTGCCAGTGTTACTAATATCCATACCCAGACCTATCTTCTGATCCCTTTGGAGTGTGTAGGTTTCTTCTCTGAATATCCTGCACGTCTGGTAGACCTGTCAACAGAACGTGACTATTCTCTGCATTTCATACTTGGTCCAACTGGCAAGGACGATGTCTGTGTGTCTCTGAAAAAGTAAAGTGGTGCCAACTTGGCCAAAGTTGTTTATAGGATAAACACAGTGAAACATATATTACAATGCCAACAGCCTTATTTTCATAGTACTTTAAGACTATTTTTACAGTATTAAAGGTTGAAGTGAAAAAGAACATAATGAGTGTCAAAAGTGGGATGAAGGACAATTCAATTCTCAAACTAGCGCTTTTCAAAAAACCCACTGAGAGTGTGAAAGCTGTGGTTGCACTGACACAACCCGAGTCTCTGCATCCTGCCTGTGCTCTTTCAGAGTAAACAGCCTGGTAGCGGCTGGTGCTAAAATAAGCATGGATCAATATGACTTGATCCATGGCATCTTCATGTGTATGATCGTTGGAACACAGTGTTGTTCGGGCAGGACCATTTGCCTTGTTTTGATTTCCCAAAATTCAGTTGCAGTGGTTTCTAATAGAAATACAGGGTAGTGCGAATAAGACCACAAACCTCTTTTGGTACTTCAAACAAAACTGCACTGATGGCACGTAGGAACTCAACTCTACAGAGTCTATCTTCTTGAGACTCTAGATTTGGATGGGAGTATGGGTCAAAGCAGGTTCCATCCCTTTTCCAGCTACGCAAGAAATCTACCCCGCAGCATGGTTCCTGTGTAAATGTATAACTTACGTAGGAGTGTTGGGTTTTGTTAGGTATAAACTTCTGTTTGTAAGGCATTGCCGTAATATTTTGCAAGAGTGGGAGAAGTAAAACTCACAATTTTTGTTTCTGTTAGCTAACTCAGCCTGTGACTCCTCCTGTCCTTAGACAGTCAAATAACCTCCCCGAGTCCATGTGCTCATTATGGAAGGACCCGGAGGAGCTGTCTCACCACCCATCTGCATCAATATGTGGGAGTTCTCTGAATTGCACATACTGAAGTTCCTTCTCAGCTTTGAGAAGAGGAGGGATGCAGCAGGAGTGCCACACGAGGCGATGCATCTCAGGGATGCTGGCTCCTGCTGCCCAGGACAAGGATCTGCGTCTCTGGACAACAGCGAGGGGCAGAAGTGGTGGCAGCAGGGAGGAGTGGCAGCAAGGACGCTTTGGGTGTCAAAATTCCGTTCTGTGGTTCTGGTAGAACAACAGTTCTTCAGAAATAGCACTGTCTGAAACACACAAGAGTTAAGTTGGGACACCAGGATGAGTTAAGGAGATAATTGGGCTCTTTATTCCATGTTTATTTGTTTTAGAAGTGTGAGCGTCCACACTTCGGGCTGCACAGGAGAGTGACATAGCATGGGCCTTGCATACCAATGCCTTAGGTCCCTGCGATTCTGAAAGACAGGGGTGTGCAGCATTTTCAGGTAATGGGTTTTCTTGAAAAAGTACAAAACCACTTGAAACATGCGTGCAACTTTTGCGGCTAGGTCCTCAGAGACTGAAATGCCAGAGGCTGCTCTGAATTCAGTGTCGTTACTGTGATCCGTTCTTCTTGGGTTTTTTATCCTTTTCGTATCCATTAAACAAATTAAAAGAAATCCATTTGCTGGTCCCATTATGCTTGACATACATCAGAGTACTTGGATTTGTTTATAGAATGAAAGGGCATTTTGGTTCCTTTTCAGTGTCTCTTAAGTGCAATGTGTTTGCATGAGTTTTTTGGAATGTATTTACTTACATGTATCACAAAGAAATTTCCTCTCAGTTAACTGCTCCGGGTCCTTGTGACAAAAACCAATAATCTGGAAAACTGGGAAAATGTTTTCTCAAAATAATTGTTTTTAACACTTTGGTTTGCTGGTTTGCTGTTAAAAAAAAATGCACACATGGAGCTGTATGGCTTTATAGCAGCTGTATGAGGGTATTTCCAGTGTCTGACCAGCTGAGATTGAAATCCCATTGAATCCCATTAACTTCTGTTATGTGTCACTTTCGACCAGACTGTTTTGTCATATAGTTTTGGCATTAGAAATTATGAATCTGTGGATCGTGAAGTGCTGCTGCCTGTTTTATAGGGATGGAAATGAACATGTATCTTGGGTATTTGCAGTCTCCATGTATTTTCAAAATTCCTTCCATTAGGAATTCCCAAATATAATTAATTAAACCTCTTACTATTTATAATTCCAGTTATTGCTTTCATGCCGATGGGTACCTTTCCAATAAATCGTTCTGTTTAATACAATTGTTTTCAGGGGTCTAGAGGACAATGTGAAATACAAAAAACAATGCAAAGGTAATTCTGTTGCAGCAATCGGGAAGAATCCAGAAGTCTTCTTTCTGTACTCTTTTGGTTAACCCCTTCTTTAGTAATTATTGAACTGGTTGATTTATCAATTGAAATGGATTGTTTTCCCTCAGTATTAGTGCAACTTAAGAATTAGAGAAATAAAAAGTCAGATTTCATATTCAGAAGTTTCATATTCATAAATTCAGAAGATTCATATTCATATTCAGAAGATTTCATATTCAGAAATCACTGGATTTCTTTGCAAATAAAAGTCATGGTTATAATATTTTTCTTGGCTAAGTCTAAAGGTCAAAATTAGCAAGTTTTAAAGAAGAACTGCAAAGGCATACAGCAGAGCCCTTGTAGTAATCACAAATGAAAGACAGTGCTGAATTAGTGGATAATACAGAAAACCTAATTTACAGTTACAACTTGGTATCTGTGACGGCAGCAGTGCAGTTTGCACGGGATTGAAATTGGGGCAAGAATGCAAAGAGCCAGCAGGTCAGTAAGGAAATAAAGAATTGTGGCTAGGGGCCAGCAGCCAAATCCTATTGTAAAGGCGGCCCTTAACCACATTTTCACTATTATGACAACTGTGAAACTCGAGTTGGTTTTGCTGTTGTTGGGATCTTGGCTTTGCTTTGCAACCGCGTGGGTTCAACCAAATAATCATTTTCAGTGACTCTTTTGGTCTGGGGTTTTTGTGTGTGTGTGTTTAGCTGGAGGCCTCAGCATATGAACGTACTTTTAACTTCCAGATGTCTGATGGGCAGTGACGTCATCTCTTATTTTCCATAGAAACTGGCTGCAGTCCTTTGAAGCACGGATTGCTGGTGTAAGGGACAGCATCTGCTACAGCATATAGGACCTTGCCATGACTGCGTTCGAACTCTGATCTAAGCTCCCTGCGTTTCACAAGCTGACGTTCTTTTTCTCTCTCTGTTTCAGGGTCTTTATGTCTTCGTGGTATATTTTATCCTGCACAACCAACTTTGTTGTCCTGTGAAAGCAAGTTATACTGTAGACATGAATGGGCATACAACTCCGGGATCGGCTTTTTTCACACATGGCAGTGGTCTGCCGGCTGCAGGTGGAGAGATCAGCAAGTCCACTCAGAACCTCATCAGTGCTATGGAAGAGGTAACAGTGCTCTATAGGCATTACCCTGTGTATTGAAAATGTACCTGGAGATTTAAGTGGCAGTACTGAAGTGTAATACACAGGAATGAGATGCTAATTATTATAGGTTGGCTTTGGGGAGGGGGGGATTATTATTTTTTTTTTACCATAAAAATTGTTATCTTTAGCCATGGTGATATTCTTGGAACTTACAATTCCCTGGTAACATCCCATCTAGAGAATTTCCCCTTTTCTACTTGAGTCTTCAGTTTGTTATAGAGGCTGGTTAAAGTGTTGTCAAAAGTAGTTCATGAGCAATCAAAATACTGATTTAATTCTTTCAGCTTACTATAGGTCTTAGATGAGTTTTAAGTCTTTAATTTTCCAAAATCATGCCGTGCAAAATTTCTGGAAATTTTAATAGTATAGAATAAAATTAGAATGGAAAAGAAAAGAAGAGAAGAGAAAAGAAAAGAAAAAAGAGAAAGGAAAAGAAAGGAAAAGAAAAAGAAAGAAAAGAAAAAAGAGAAAGGAAAAGAAAGGAAAAGAAAAAGAAAGAAAAGAAAAAAGGGAAAGGAAAAGAAGGGAAAAGAAAGGAAAAGAAAGGAAAAGAAAAAGAAAGAAAAGAAAAAAGGGAAAGGAAAAGAAGGGAAAAGAAAGGAAAAGAAAGGAAAAGAAAGGAAAAGAAAGGAAAAGAAAAAGAAAGAAAAGAAAAAAGGGAAAGGAAAAGAAGGGAAAAGAAAGGAAAAGAAAGGAAAAGAAAGGAAAAGAAAGGAAAAGAAAGGAAAAGAAAAAGAAAGAAAAGAAAAAAGAAAAGAAAAGAAAAGAGAAAAGAAAAGAAAAAAGAAAAGAGAAGAGAAGAGAAGAGAAAAGAGAAAAGAAAAGAAAAAAGAGAAAGGAAAAGAAAGGAAAAGAAAAAGAAAGAAAAGAAAAAAGAGAAAGGAAAAGAAAGGAAAAGAAAGGAAAAGAAAAAGAAAGAAAAGAAAAAAGGGAAAGGAAAAGAAGGGAAAAGAAAGGAAAAGAAAAGAAAAAGAAAGAAAAGAAATTTTGAGGGAGATGATTTTCAATCTCTTTGTTGCTGGAACTGGAATGCTGCTAGTATCACTTTTCACTACCTGTAGTAAACCAAGGTGACTTTTGCTGCTATGTACATGTGTGTGTTGATAGAGCTAGTTGAAAATTTTCCAGCTAAACAGTTTTTCCAGGAAAAACACCAATTTAATGGAATTGAAATATTTCAAGGGAACATGTCAGTTCTAGTAACAATTTTTCTGGAAACCAAGCTGCTCACCTGGCAGCTGTTTTGCCCATTTCTCTACCTGCTTGACTGTAGGTTTGTCTGGATTTTAAAGCTCCTCAGCTGCCTCCTGGCAGACCACTAAATTTATTCAACTTCTCAGCATCAGGTGGTGCCTGACTCCCCAGTTTAGTGGACAGCGTAGCTTCTCAGCTCTACATGGCAAGCTTCCTAAAGCTCCTAAACAGTGGATGAGCAATAAACCAAGAAAATGTATTTTGATTGTCCTAAAATGTATTTTTTGAGAGTTCAGTATTTTGGCTTTTCCTCACATTTAAGGAGGAGATAGATTTTCAAAACCAATTTTATTCTCATGAACAGAAATTCTGGTTTTTTTTTGTGAGGCTCCACCTTAAACTGAAGTGGCAGGTGAACTATAGCAAAATTGATATTGAAACTGCAGGGCTGTATACCACCACCAGAACCTTCAAAGGCTGGCAGATTACTTTAACATTTTGTATTGGTAAACATGGGAAGCAGTGGGTTGCCAACTGTAGATCATACAGTGGAAAGTGATGATGGTTAGTGGCTATAGAAGGGAGAAGCAGGGTCCAGCAGAGGAAGGGGCAGTGTTAAGAGAGGAGTAGGCTGGAACCTTTCAGTGCTTTAATTTAAAGTTCTCCATACCAGGGGCCAATGTTCAGAAATAGCAATATTTTTTTAACTTTTTGAGATAGCTAGGACAGGCATAATAAACACAAGGTTAAATGACTTGTAATCGATTTACATATATAGAGATATATATATTTTACTTAAAAAAAAAAAAAAGGCTACCTGGTTCACTATAGAAGTAACAGAATAGCTGGTTCCAAAATCTCTTGGTCGTGAGTTTGGCTCTGGTCATAGTTTCCAGTTTCTATACTATAGTTTTGATGATTACTGCATTTCTGTGTCTTTTTAAACTTTGCAGGTGCCTGCAGACTGGGAGAGGGCATCCTTGCAGCCTGCTAGTGCTGCCTTTAAGCAGAGTCCACAAAATGGCAATGTTTTCCACCCTTCTGGAGGATTTAGTACCAGCTCATTGGTTGCTGATGAGGAATCACAGGAGTTTGATGACCTAATATTTGCTTTAAAGACTGGTGAGTGACTCTTCTCCTTGTTCCTCAACGGTTGTTATGTTGTTCTTCACCCTAATGGTGTCACCATTCCATGAGATCAAATTAACGAGATCCATTAATATAATCTGATTGCCAGTGAAAATCTGAAGTAAAATTGTTTTGCCTTGGACTGCTATTCCATGAAAGATATTGTGCAGGCTATCTAAAATAACAAAGAGGGAGTCTGCAAGAATATGTTTTGAGTCATGATGAGAAGCAGACCTGCAGAAAGTAGCAGCAAATTGGAGGCTCTGACATTCTTTCACAAGCGCTTAAATGGCTAACTGGCCGCATCTAGACATGGGGTGTCTTGTCTTCTTTTCCTTTCTTTTTCAAATTGAGATGTACAGTATACACAATGCCTATCTTTATTTTTTTATATACATATATATATGTGAGAAACAGCATAACTTCGTAAATATTGATTCTCCCAATGAATGTAAGACAAAATATTTATATAAAATACATTTGAACCTGAAAAATGGTGTACACTGGAAAGATAAACGAGATAGACTTCTGCCCAAACACAAGAGCAAGCGTGATCCCAGGCTTTGCCCTCAGTTACGTATTGCTTTTCTGCTTCTCACCCACTCTGCCAATGCAACTTCAGGTTATTCATATGATATAAATAGATAGCCAGATGTGGCCACAGGCAGAAGAAATGAAGTGAAACCTGATTCAAATATAGGTCATAGAATCATAGAATCATAGAATACTTTGGGTTGGAAGGGATCTTTAAAGGTCATCTAGTCCAACCCCCCCTGCTGTGGGCAGGGACATCTTCCACTAGATCAGGTTGCTCAGAGCCCCGTCCAACCTGACCTGGAATGTTTCCAGGGATGGGGCATCCACCACCTCTCTGGGCAACCTGGGCGAGTGTTTCACCACCCTCAGCGTAAAAAATGTCTTCCTTATATCTAGTCTAAATCA